AGATGAGCAGAGGGTGAAAAGAGCAGGACCATAACAAGGATACAAATATCCTTGTGGGAATGGAAAAACGGGGGCAAGTGAGATGGAAATGAGGTAAAGCACAGGGTAGTGGAAAAGGGTACCACAGGAAAAAAGAAAGTTGATTTATTCTAAGGGCATTCTGTATAAATAAAAATTGTATGTAATGGTACAGAAGATCAGCTGTGAATAAATGAGTGTTAGCACCTTGTCTCTGACTTATCTGTAAGTGAAAATGTGCATTAATTAGAAGTTAAACGGTTGAAATGTTTCACTGCCTGCAAAAGAAATCCTGCAAAAAAAATGGTTTAGTTATTATATAAATAGAAATAAAACTATAAGGTTCCAAAGTCAGACTGACAGACACTAGGAATACCATGCATATTAAAAATCATTAGATGCACACAAGTAAAATCCTGAACCACTAAATGAATGAAACATCAATACAACAGCAATTTAAATTGTGATCTTCCAAATGACTACACACAACATTGCAATACAGCCACATTCAACTGTACACAGGTTCTTTTACAAAAACATTCTTAAATTGTAATACTGTTTAGAATTAAATGGTCAAAATAGCTTAATTGAAGTGGTTACATTAAACAAAAGTAATGTAACCTGCTCGAGACCAGTGTATTTATAAAGCCCATTTCCAGTTAGAAAAATCAGTGCATCCAACCAAGAAGCCAGAAAGCAACACAGGCACCTAAAAGACCCAGTGAGATTAACTTTCCCCTTGAGGTTTTCTTTAGTGCAATAAGGACCATACTTTCCATCAAAATAAGCACAGAAGTACAAAATGGAGGTGTTTTTTAATGAAAAACCCCAACACTGCAAAAAGCAGCGTTATGAAGAACAAAATGATCCTTCCCAACCATATTATACCAGAAGATGGTATACGTAAGGATCCAATATGAATCAGTGTTTTTGCACACAAGACTCTGTGCTCATGTGCATAAGAAGTCATTTTCATTATTAAAAATCAGGTTACAAAAAAACCCTACAGAAAATCCTTAGGATTTGATACTAACTGAAGATAAAATACTTCGAAGTATTATGAATTAATTGGTGGTTGAGGCACGATTTAAGGTAACATTGATAGAAAAGCCCATGTTACCCTAAATAACCTTTAATTTAATTCCTCATCCAACATGCTGTTAAAAAAATAAAAAGCACAAAAAAACCCCAATTTAAAAAAAAGTTTGTCTCTGAACAAAAATGCCTTTTTGACAGTGAACAGGTGAAGCCAGACTTCTACCTTCAAGCATCACAACTCACATAACAAACACAGCACTACGCGAATGACAAGAATAACAAAATACTACGCCAATACAAATCCAGGATATCTCCTGAGATAGACATAAAAAACAGGCAAAAAACCCCCGAGAGACGAAAACCCGCACCCTCCCACCCACCCTCTCGCCCCAGCTGAAAGGGCAACGCACCCACACACACATACAGACACGCAGTTACTGTGGGTAACCGTAGGAAGCGCCTACAGCAGCTTCTGGGCAAACTGCACAATTTTAAGCTAAACAGATGAAAGATACTATGTTTGAAAAATATAAAAAAATTCAGCACCAAGTAAAAGTTTGGTGTTTTTTCTTTCTTATTCCAAGTAACTAGATCATGTTAAGAAAAAAAAGATGAAGGCCCTCAAGGTTATTGTGAAATAACCTACAGTTTTGTAAAAAAATCTCTTGTGTAAATGCTTGCAGTGGAAACCTAACATCAAAGAACTAAAATGCTCATGCTTGGCATTTTAATGGCTAGAAGGACTTTTTTAACAGAAATCTGGAAATCTGAAGTAAATCTTCAGAATGAAAATGGGGAATAAATTAGGTATCTGAAGGTACTTCACAGACGAGGTGCCAGTATTTACTCTTTTTTCGCAAAGTCATATTAGAGATGTCTGTGGGCCAATAACAATATCCCTGTGTAAATTCATTCTCTACCACTCGTTAGAGGTAAAGATTTGCATGGCAGCTCCTCCTTCAGCTATAAGGATGCTACGGACCTGTCCTCCTCCTGCCTAGCACCAATGATACCACTTTTCCAACACTGCACATCGTTCTATCACAGTACATGTGCCACATCATTGCTACCATCATGATGAACCAACGTGTTACATGACCAACTTGAATTACGGGTAAACCCAAAATATCCCAAACTTTTGAGAACACTATTACACGACAGACCTCATTTGTACTTATACAGCACAATGGAACAAACCTAGAAACCCCATGCCTTGGTCTGACAGTGCACTGTATTTCCCCTCAAAAGTTAAAGGACGGAGATTATTTATTTTTTTTTAATAAAAAAGTAGAACATTCTACTAAAATACCACAGATCATATGGCCAATCCAATCTTTTAGTCAAGGCAGAGTATGATTAGTTATGAAGAGAATTCTCCAGTGCTACAAGAGGAAAACAAAATAATGCAAAAAAAAAAAGTTGGCTCCATATAATCACGTACTGGAGTTGCCTACTAAAATCATTATAAAATTATGCTACGAAAAACTATGAACAAATAATACACAGATCAGGATATATGTATTGACTTACTAGCATCTTTATAAAAATTTGAAAATATACACAAAAACACATGAACATTTATGGAACTGTATCCATTAAACTTAGATAAGACAACACAAAAAAACTAACAAATAGCTAAGATGTGGTTGACTGTAAGCACTTTGAGTAACATTTTAATTTTAAAAGGTCAATATTTACATACTACATTAAATGTTGAGTTGTGTTTTTTTTTTTAATTTTGCATTGTATTTTGAATGCACGATAAAGAAAGAACAAGATAATGGTTGCAACAGATCTTCCAAGAAAATTAACTCAGGATGGTCAGACTGAACTATGTGCTGAAAGAGAACATGGCAAGAACATGTCTGTCTACCTTTACCTCTACTTCCTCTGTGGTTTTTTGGGAGGAGACAATAAATGGATCTAAAAGAGCTGTATTGTTCAAACTGATCATTGCCAAGAGATCCACTTTTGAGTTAGATTTGAGAACTAACAAAACACAAACATTTTAACAAATGACTCACCTAATTGCTACTTTTGCTACTGAGTTAAGCTATTAGAGAGATATGGTGACAATACAGGGTGCAACTATGTATGTATGTATGTGTATAATAAAATGCATATAGACACACATACATATAGTACGTTTACATATAGTAAGGTACCCAGGTACTGCAACAAGCAGCTAAAATCACCACCAGCGATCTGCCCGTACTCTGTCTATGCACAAGCAATAATCTACTGCAACCGCCTTGAAAGATAACACATCTAGTCATTAAACAGGCATTGCTTATGTTGCCTCCTACATTTAAATAGATTCGAGGCAATTTCATGTTTAGTTCCAAAGTCACACGTTTGTCTCAAAAAAAAAATAAAATAAAATTAAAAAACCCAAGTGAATAAAAATTCTTAAAACTTAAGTTGGCTGAACACCAGCCTCTTTGGGATGGATTCAAAACTCAAAGCAGGAGCGTTTCTACAAACTTCTTTGACTTTTGAATCAAACCCATATTCTTAGGCTCCAAGAAACCCTCTAACCCTAATAACATTTGCTTCTGACAGGACAGCTGATCAACTGCAGATGTTCCCACTGCTGAGCTCAGCTGCTGGCCTGTCTAGCGTTTGCATCTATCCCAGATTTCCAGACACGCACTATTACCGCTCCACTTCGAGATGCCTTCCCATCCTCATCACAAAGCTGCTCCCTAACAGCAGGATGAATAACTGTTTAATGACTCATTTTCAAGATAAGCATTTATTTCTTAAAACTAAAAATTACATAACCTGAGGAGGCAGCACGGGAGTCCTAGTGCTCATGGTGTGAGGAGTTAATCAGCACCTCCCAGGAGTCTGCAGCGTCGGCTCTCACCAGGCACTTCCTACCTTCAGCTCATTCTCTGGCCTGGGTTGGGGTCACTGAAGCACCAATAGGACTTTACGTATATCCATAGTGCTGGATATTATTTCAGTATTAGGCATAAATAGGGAACTACACAGGCAGGTGTAAAACTCACTTCCATGTAAAAACTGATGTCTCTTCACTACGTTGTAAATGGGCTTAGAGTATTCTTTCAACGTTTTCTCCCAGCGCAGTACTTCCAAAGGACCCCATTATGATGTATTATTTCAGCGAACAAAGAGCAGTTTTACCTAGAAGACTTTTGGCAGTATTTATTACTCAATCATTATTTTTAGTAACTTCTATTTAATTGAAATTCTGGACCAAAATTGTAAGAAAGCCAATTAAGTCTTTGTGACCTGGTTACAATTAAATCCTAAAAAAAAAAAAAAAAAATCTATGCTACTATAAACTCACTTGATTCATCTTTCCATGCCTACTTCGGACCCCATTCGCAGCTGTTTCATTACATACCATCAGTGTTCCTCTATGGTCACACCGGTAACAAACCTATAAGGTTTCTGTAAGTCCCCCCCTTCAAACAGTAGGTAGAGTGCTTAAAGAGTATTCCTAAAACAAAGGGTGAAGCAAAAGCTTATAGTCTAAAAACTAAGGAAATGTTCATAAAAACTGGAATCCAATATAAAGATGGCATTGTAACAAGTTTATTCAGAAGTAAGTGAAAAAAAAAAGTTCCTTTGGCAACACCATCTAGATGGTTCTAACCGAAAGGAAATATTATGGATTTTACTTTGAATAAAATATAAGCTCTTTAAAGTTTGCGTGTAATTTTTAGGAACTGCCACGTTCACCAGCAGATTCACAATGTCCTTATAGTCCTGTATTTATCAGGAACAACACATCAAACCAAGTTCTTTCAGTTACGGGTTTCTTATGGTTCAGCATTAGTCACAAAATAAATCTCAAAGAGAAAAAAAAACCTAATCAAAATAAAGCATAAGGCAACCATGAAATGCTAGTCTGGAAGAACTATTAGGAATGCGCCACTCTTCCTGTGTAACATTTTTGAAGTGAGTTGCTAAATATTTCTTTTTCCTGTATCTGGCAATGTCATTTAAAACAACCTAGTTACAACTTGGGACTTCACTACTGCAAGATGCTACTGAAGGGCAAAGATCCTTGCTTTTAAAAACCAAGGGAAAATACAGCAATGTTATTCCTACACAGTGCTTTATGGAATAAGTGGAGTTGGAAAGAGAAGACGGAAGTCTGCATTGGAATAGAAAAATGCGAAGACAGACTTAACAAATATACAAAGATTGAAACTACAATTTTCCAGTGTCACCTCCAAAGCTTCTCAGCGTACTGCTACTCAGTGAAGTAGACCACATTTCGATCTATGCAAGAATACCTTCTGTGCTCTCAGATACACAACATAACTAATGTGTTTTGTTTAGAAATGTGAGTTTTCATTCAAATACCTCGCACTGAAGATAAGAGCAACCATTATCAAATATTCTTTGCTATGAAGAAAGTTTTTAAATCTTTCGATGTAAGCGTTGTCTCTCAAAGTCACTGTGGTCACACAGTAGGATCTTGAAGAACAGTGTCTACATGCATTGAAAGCATTTTGAAAAAAAATCTGTAGTTCCATGTGGTTACAACAGAATGTGAACAAATCGAACAGAAATTCCACCTTTGCGGATCCTCTCAAGTTCAGCTCTTCTGATGGACATCTTGCTGCTTTCTGTAGTTCAACACACCAATTAAAGACTAAGCTGAAATGTTTCAGAACCCGGTGGTTTTGCCACTGTGTCTTGTGTAGCTCCACAGTACGCTTCTGTTAGTGTCAGGGTTTCTCTCGGCAGACGTCACTCAACTATCAGTGCCACGTTTATGTGGGACAGATCTATCATGTGCCTGTTGAAAGTTAAAAGACATTTAAACCTGGTACTCAAACTGATTCTAAGGGTGGAGAACAGACAAGGAAGTTCTACGAAGGCCACTAATAAACAGATGCTTGATTGGCTTAAGAGAAACACTGAACAGAGAAGACTGATTTAATCTTTTGAAGGGAGGGAAGGAACTGAGGCGGCAGCAGTGCTTACTTATTTACCTGTGGAATTTCTGTTGAAATGCTAAAGCATGTGCTGGCTCCTTAAATTTTGCTATGGCTTTCCGTTGTTGAGGAAGCATCTGTAAACTCTGTGGAGACAAAAAGCCAAAAATATACTTTTAATATTCATTTAAAGTTCCCTTTAAACTAATTTTGCAACAAACCCATTGAAATTTTGTCACATTTCATTTCTGAGAAACACTTATTGGTGTAAGAATGGAATTGGAATTGGAATGTAAAGAGACTTCTGAGACTGCAGTCAGGGACCCAGCTGAAGGTGTTTGAGGTGGTGCATTATGGAACTGTGCTGACTGGAAAACCCAGACCAGCACTGGTTAAGCAAAGGCAACAGCTCTTCGATCCATACAGATGAACCAAACCCTGCAGTCAAACTCCCACCAGCTGAACGAGAAACATTCAACTGGGCAGAGCTCAGCTTCATACACAGGCATCTGGGAGTCATTCGCCTGATGTACATTAAAGGATTGTGGCTTTCCATGGAAAGCCTATGGGTTAACCAGGACAGAAACAGGGAAAAAGTGTTAGGTTTTGATCTCTAGACTGTACACCCTCACACTATTTTAACAAAACCAAGTGGCTAGCTTTTGACAGACACTAACAACCACAAGATCCTGATGAGATTGCTTAGGTCACCAAGTCCTCCCAGTAATGGGAAATAAAGCAATGCACATCTACCCAGAGAAGTCCATGGGATACATGCTTCCCATACCATGACAGCAGCACTTCACAATGCTCTAACTGTCAAAAAACTCCTGTGCAGTACTTGAGGCTTCCAAAACTGCAGCATGCCTCAGCCAGGGCTTGGGAGAACTCATGTCCTTGCTCCCTGTTGCAGCAGGAAAAGCCCGGGCAATGTCAAGATGATCCTGGAGAGCAGAGTCCTGTGATTCCAGTATCTCACAGCAGGTTTTGGATGTTTAATGGCCTACACTGCAGCACATTCAAGACAGAATTGTTCTGATTCAGCATCCAGTTTCCAATCGTTCTTATGGCTTTGGATGCAAAACTAAAGGATTCCTAACTTCTCTCTTTTCTGTGCATAAGTTTCTACATAAAGCCAATCCAATTTTGTACTAAGCTTTGCATATATACATACACATGTATGTACACACACACATACAAGAACCTTAAAACTTTTCTAGATTTCATTATAACCTCCTGATGTTTATGTATAAACATAATTCTGTGCTCCTGCATCTCGCCTGGAATGCTGCAGCATCCCCTTACATTTGGATGATTCCAGCACTCTGATGGTCAGTCTCCAGAATTTCATGTGCAAAAACTCTGTGTCACCATCTAGACTATTTAAAAAGGTACCACATATCTTTACACAAATATTCCTTGGGAAACTATGTACAACCCCACTCAAGGCTTTAGGCAACCTGGTCTAGCGGGAGGTGTCCCTGCCCATGTCAGGAGGGTTGGACTGGATGAGCTTTAAGGTCCCTTCCAACCTAAACCATTCGATGATTCTATGACTTTAAGGGTGACATACTTTGAGATCGCTCAGTGAACAAATTTTTAATTCAACTACTGTGTTCCCTGTTCATTCAATCTAATGCAGCACTTTAAGCAAGATGTCAAATGCCTAGATGAAATTTGCTATTAAAATTTCCTATTTATATCTTTTTTGAACAGGTAAGACTCTCGTTGATAAGATGCTTATTTAACAAGAGCCATGGCACCTGATAATGATATTTCTTCATTTCTAAGCCTGACAATTCAGCTCAAGGCTCCTTCTGTAACTTATCTGTCTGTGATTTCTAAAGTAATTAATTTTGGCAGTAGCTACCTCGCACCTTCTTGTAATCGACAGGAAAGTTCTCTCTTGCCAGGAAAATTACAGAAGTGTAATACTTCCATCGCTCTTGTGATTTCAAAATGGCAGCTGAGGAAAAGTTAAAGGATTCAGCCAACCTGATAAGCTTCAGTGGGTTATTTGCACTGTACAGTTTCTAAAAAGCTGTTATGAAGGAAAGGTTTAGTTAAGCCACTGCCTCTTCTTAGTTTCTGAGCTGGTAGGAATGAAATTTATTGTTAAAAAGCCTAAAACACTTAGCAGATTTTTTTATTAGATCAGAAAGCTTCTGACAAGGTTAAGCACATTTTAACACCAAGAATACAGTCATGCTGCACAAAGCACCAAAGAAAGACCTTGCACAAAGCTCAGTCTTCCTGGAGAAAATCTGGTGGAGTGGGTGAAGGAGGTGCTGAAGTTTGTGTTCTCCTCCTTGACGTCTCTTTGTTATGATTTACAGAGCTGTCTCTAATACACATTTCCTTTACACCACTCTTCTGTCTAGAAAATGACTAAGTGCTAGTACTGCAGACTAAGTTTTGAAGACTAAGAATTAATCATAGTCATTAAATAATGAAATTTAGAATCAAGAGACTTGTAAGAGATTAAAAAAAACCAAAATATCTGAACTGCAATTAAAACAAAAAGAAATCAAGATAAGTAAATCTGGCTTTTTTGTTCCTTTCAAAGTATTTGAAACTTTTAACATGAGAAAAAAACCCTGTTTGAATCACTAAAATATGAGTATTTCAGAGAACAGTGGGGAAAAAAGGAGCTGGAAAAGAACCCCAGGACTCATCCCTTCTGCTGTACCCTGCACGTCCCCCTGTCACCTGCTTCCCTCCCCGCTACTGAACCACCTCCAACCCTCCTGGAGACAACTGATCCTCAAAAAGTCAGATCTGGCTCAGCTACCACAGGAGATTCTCCCAGTGCTTTATGCTCCAGACCCCTGTTGTGATCAATTGAAGAGAAGCTGCATTTAATGACTTTTTCCACAATAACTGAGCTATTATTGTATTAATATCCCTGAGATGCATAAAAGCAAAATGGGATTTTGTCATTTATACACCAATAATGATAAGTTATTAAGAAGCTGGTTGGTAATTAGCATATTGAAGATTGACTGAAAGAAGATATTTTGGTATAGTGCAGACTTATTAGTTAAATTAGGCAAACTATCTGAATCTTATTATAGACAACTTATTTATACTCCCCTATGAACTAATGGTTTATTGACTGACTAGTTTGGACATTATGCTATAGCCTGTTCTTATGTTGTATTATTGTCTTATCTTCCAAAGCAAAAAAAAAAAATGCAATCAAAACACTAAAGACATTTTAATTCTCAATCGCTTTGGCAATAAAGTATCAATTCTTGAGTATGTCTACTGAGAAGCAACTTCATAAGACTTAATTTCACTTGTCAATACAGACAACTGTGAAAACAAAAGGCCAACCCATCTGATCCTTTGCTGAACTGCCCAAACACCACCCATTGCACATCCCAGCAGAAAGGCAGTATTTTCTAGCACCAAGGTCTTCTCAATTACTGCAGTTGCACATGTCTATGCTTTAATAATTAGAGAGAGAGTTAAGAGCTGCCAAACAAAAAGATAAACTAACACTGCAGAAACAATACTTCTCCAGTTGGAAACCATTTGAAAATTTTCAATTCAAACCGTTTTAATGCAAGTTCTCAGCCTTCACTGTGCTCAAACTACGGTAGTGAAAACGATACAGAATCATTCATGTTTGTGTAGGTATAGACATCTTTTTTAGGTATAAAAAAATAGTTCTGGCCATGTTTTAACAAGAAATAAATAAGGCGATTACTAAGCTGAGTTAATTTGATGATATGAACACCATAGCCTGAAATACTGTAGCCTGAAACACCATAAATCTTTGCTGACAAACATTTTTAATAGCTCAACATGAATCATGATCTCCATTGTGCTTTCAAACAAATCCTCATCTATCATAACATGCAAATATGAACGTTATTCATCCTGCTAACAAAGATCTCCTGAAAACTTATGTTCCGATTTTGGGACAATATCTACTTACTCGCATGACTATTTAAACACTGAGTTTTATGCTTAACAACACTGATTGGCAGGCACAGACCAAGGAGGTACAATTTGATGGAGTGTGTGGGTTCTGAGCTGCTGCTATCCCACCTGAGCAGATGGGTGATCGGCTGGGAATACAAACCAGTGTTCCACCTCAGTGGAAACCCGAAGTAAAATAACTGCATACTCGTCCTACTGGATTATTTCTGTCTTCTTGAATTTGGGCTGACATGCAGTTTAGAGGTGATCCTGCATTTAGATGATGTTAAGAGCAACAGCTTGAAGAACACACATTTTTTGTGTAATCTGTGGAATTTTATTACCTCAAAATGTTGTTTAAGGCATTATCTTAAAGACTTACTTCACTGCCTTCTGGTTTTTATTATTCCATATACATCTGCTAGGAAAGTGCATACAAAATTAATTAATTTTGCATATCTTACTGATGCTACCTCATTAGTTTAAACGTTCTTACTTTTTTTCAACTTCTTAGAATAATTTGCAGCCATCATTTTCAGAGCTAAAATTCAGTATTTCTACCATCCATAACATTCTCAGGACAGCTTGAGTGCTCGTACATTCATTACAAGGTGATCTTGAAATAACCTCCTAGAAATCTGTTTTTAAACATGCTCTTTCACCAGTCAGACTGCCCATTGTATCAGCCAGCTCACTTGTAAGGAATGCTCTAAGAAGATTCTAAAATTATTGGTACCACCATCTGAGGTATATCACTAAGGTAAACACCTGTATATGGGCAAGCATACTTTTATTTTTAAAGTAATACCTGAAGTGCTGCATTACCTATCATAAACCTTGCACAAAAAGAGATAATAATCTATAATGTTTTCTATATTATTTTTGTTTCCCCACAATATATCTAACTACATTTCCAACACAATATGGTGTATCAGGATAGACATAAACCTTCGTAATTTCTTTTCATACTGCCCAACTACTTCTGGAGAAGACTTTGTAAAAAGTTAAACAAAAGTTTCACTGAAGAAAAGCTCTTACTGCATGACTGTATATAGAACTAAGTCAACTAATCTAGTATTTGTACATTTTTATCAATTGGATCTTGGCTGTTAAATGCTATGGCTGATACCTGAATGCCACAACACACATGTCTTGGTGGTTAAGTTTTTGTTGTTTTGTTGGGTTTTTCTCCCTTACAAAATCTAGATGACTTCTGGTT